ACAGTAGATAAAATCAGTAGTTAAAATGTAAGTTTTGAGTGCGGATTTGGTGCTTTATTCAAATGCAGCTGAGAACAGGTGAGTCTTCAACCTGGATTTAAATAAACTGAGTGTTTCAGCTGATCTGAGGCTTTCTGGGAGTTTGTTCCAGATATAAGGAGCATAAAAGCTCTTTGAAAAACTTCAAATGGCAGCATGACGTGCTTCTAAATAACGGATGATTTCATAACTCCACAACTTTGTTTCTTTGCTTATTTCAGCCTCATTTTTAACACTGACTATGAAATTGCACCAAATCTTCCTTAAGCACCAGCCACAAGTCAGATTGTTTTGATTGAAGCTGAAGATTCAGTCTTTGGAATAACGTTACAGAAAGCCGTTACTCTGATGAGCTTTGGAAGGAAGTTTGGGTGGGGGACACTCAGCGAGGCAATTTCATTCCTTCTTTAATGAGCTGGAGAGTTTTCATCTGTGCCAGCATAATTGGTTACGAATTTTTATAATGATCGATTTGAATTTTTCAAATGATGGCAAAGTGCCGTTTGAACACCGGAGGTGAGGATCTCTGAACATGGGCGTCTGTACTCCTACGTACATGTTCCATTAAAACGTGCACTTAATTTGTCATTAAGTGCACGTTTATATATTCATTTATTTTATTCGAAATCAAGGAAAATTCTAAGTGAACACAAACTTTTGAGTGGGAGCGTGTTCCAATATAACATGGGTGTCAAACATAAGGCTCGGGGGCCAGGATCAGTCCAGAAATTATATTCCAATCTGGCCCAATGAATTGTGGGAAATGTGAAGAAGGGCCTGTCATATTTTAATTTTGCTTTCATAGGTTTCATACTGATAAACACCTCCTTGCATGGAGGGGACAGGACTGTCCAGGCAATGAGCTAACTTCATTTTTTATGTAATGTTAAAGATTAGTTTAAACCCTGCTGACAGACGTCTGTCATTTTCTACACAAATTACACTTTTTTCTTATATTAATATATATGAGGAATTTAATGTATAGTTAAACATCTTTACACTGACAGAAAGGCGAGTTTCACTTGTCCGGCCCACTTATGATCAAAGTAAGCTGAATGTGGCGCATGTTTAAAATGAGGCTACATGCACAGGTACACGGGTATTTTTGAAAACGGAGATTTTCTGTTTTTGTTTTTTTTTTTTTTAAATCCCGTCCACACATGAAAGCCAAAAATGAAGGAAAACGCTGCTAGGAACATGCCAAAGCAGCAGGTGGCGCTATATTCCTAACCGTGTAGAAATGTTGGCCAATCAGAAGTCTAGAAGCCTTGGTGGGAAAAAGTAAACAAAGCTGCGGCATAGAAGCAGAATTGAGTCGTATGTGTGGAGGACAGTAACTGTGTGTGTATATGTAAGCATGTAAACACTACAGAGAGTGAAATTAACAGTAACAGTATTCTGTCTACGTCCGCCATGGTAGAAATTCATTTCAGCGAAACAGTAACCCGGCGCACAGTGTGACGTCAAAAAAGGCGCACACCTTTGACGCTGCGTTTTCTCCGTTTTCCTCGTCCACACGTAAATGCAAAAACTGAGTTTTCGAAAATCTCCACCCTGGCCGGAGATTTTAAAAATCTCCGTTTCCAGTGACCGAAAACGCCGTTTACGTGTGGACGAAAGGTGCAAACGCACAGAAAAATCTGTGTTTTCAAAAATACCCGTGTACGTGTGGATGTAGCCTGAGTTTGACATCCCTGCACTTTGATGCTAAAGCCATATTACCATCGTTAACTGTAAGAGAACCAGTCACAGTAAGCCGGTAAGGTACAGAAATGTAATGGATTACATTAGATTGTAATTTTATTATAAATATAAATAATAACATAATAATTTTACTATATAGCGCCAAATCACAACAAAAGTAACCTCAAGGAGCTTTGTATTATAAGGTGGAGACCCTGCAACAATCATATGACCCCCTATGAGCAAACACGGCGACAGAAGGAAGGAAAAACTCCCTTTTAACAGGAAGAAACCTCCGTCAGAACCAGGCTCAGGGAGCCAGGTGGCCCTGCTGTGACCTTTTTGGGTTGAGGGGATGAAGACAGCATAAAGGATACGCTGTGGAAGAGAGGCAGAGATTTGTAATGACTAATGATTAAATGCAGAGACGTGTAAAAAGGTCCAGCCCTAACTATATGCTTTAGCAAAAAGGAAAGTTTTAAGTCTTAAAAGTAGAGATAGTGTCTGTGTCCTGAATCCAAACTGGGAGCTGGTTCCATGGAAGAGGTGCGCACGTAAGCCAGTAGCCTGAGAGCGACATGCTCTATTGGGGTGATATGGTATCTATCTCCTATCCATCCATCCATAATCATAACCATTTATTCAGTTCGGGGTCACTGCGAGACTGCAGCCTATCCCCGCTGTCATAGGATGAGAGGCGGCGTCCAGCCTGAACAGGTCCCGTCTTCCTCCCAGTAACACAAACAGGTTGAAGT